GGAGCCTGAGTGGAATGTCCCTGCCGTCAGGAGGCACCGAGCACCGTTCCTCTGGTCTCCATCTCAGTTCAGAGAAGGACAGGACGGCAGCAGAGGGGGATGTTTATCCCCTGCTGCACTGGCGCCTCTGGGGGCCTGGTGGTCCAAGGGCAGGGTGCCTGGCCGTGCCCCTTAAGCTCACAAATGGGATGTTTTCGAGTAGAATGTCCTCAGACAACAGTGTGCTACTGCCAGACCACTATCAGCACCGGGACTAGAGCAACAGGAACAGCTATCTCAGCAGGGCCTGAATTTCTGCCACATAAATTGCATTTATGTCCTAGCAAATACCCTCCAGATTGTCATGCCAGCCCTCTCCGTCCTTATTACCAATATAGTATGATGATTAAAGAATCAAACATCGTTTGCAATGTCCTTGCCTGTACCAGTACAACCTGTAGATTTTTTTTTCTTCGTCTTCCACGATCCTGGTTCCCACACAGGGCATGAGAACGTCCTGCTCTGTCCTTGTGAGACCTGGGGCTCCCCCGGTCAGTGAGTGCTGGTTTCTGGCTGTGTACACAGTTACTAAACTGGCTCGTTTGCCCTTTTCCTCTCCTCCTCAGTATTTAAGTTATGACTCAGAGGGTGGATTTGTTTCCCTCTTCTCCCTGCATATTTTTTTCCAGCCTATACCAGTCCATTGGCACAGGTGTTTCTCCAGAGATACACAAAGACAAGACAGATTTATTTTCCATATAAACTGTGACTGCTGCCAAAATGCAGATGTGTTCTATGTAGGCACAACATCCAGATTTCATTCCTGAATCCAGAACAAATCCATGCAACCAGGACCTTGAGCTTGCATTTGGATTTTTAATTTTTTTTTTTCTTTAATTGAAAAGGTCCAGACATAGCAAAACATAGAAAGGTATTTGAGGAGGATTTGTAACAGCAGGGGGCTCTGCTGAGCATAGTAACAGTTTCTAATAAATATATTAATGAATACACAAGAAAGCTCACAGAGATCTATGACAATACCCAGGTTTTCTTTATAGAGCAAATAAAGTAGTGAGGGACAGTTGTTCAAGTACTCCATAAAAACAAAACTGTTTTCCTTACTGAATACAAACAAAATAATTTATGGCTAGAAAATTTATTTACCAGACATGTATTTTTCATGATATTCGAATTTTTTAACACATTAGTTTTGAGTTCTGAAAGTCTAAGACTATTTCTTTTACATAATTTCAGAGGTTTAATCCAGCACTAAGATAAAAACCACAAATACCATTTTAAAGGTACAGGTATTTTCTCTCTTAAAAGAGTTGAGGTACTTCGCAAGACCAAGCCTCACTTAAAATGTGTTTTACACCAACTTAAAATAGAAAGTAAGAAAATTATGCCATTTCTCTATCTTATGAAAAGCTACACATGACTTTGTAAGTGCCTGATGGCTTCTTCTCTTTGCTGTTGTCACCACAGAGTCCAGCTGAGCTGAATGGCCTGAGACGTTTCCACTGTCTGACACATCAACTGCCTGCACATAGCAGTTTTCAGGTGTGCAACTATAATTTTACAAGGAAACAAACATTCAGAGTAGGA